ACTTTATTGCTTTTACTGCTTCTGCCTGCTTTTCTTTGTTTTATTTATTTCGTGCTTTTTCCTTGATTTTAATCGCGGAACACGACCAATGGCGRTGAAATGTCTGTCGCTTTGTGCTCAGAGAAACAATTTGTGCGTACTTAAGGCGCCTATCGATAATCGGAGTGGACGCAGATACGCTTTTTACTTCACGGCAAATATTTGGCCACATATTTAATTGAAAATAAGTGATCTTCAGTGGCCAACATGTAAAATGTGTTGTAGTTGCCCCATAGTTGTTAGGGGATATCGGCTCAATGTTTTMTTTTTTATCGGGCAGTGAATTTGGTGTGATATTAAGGCTTTTAAGGCTGGTTTTTCAGAATTAAATATGAGTGTTTTCCGTATTATTATATGCATACATGCATATATGTATTTCGCATATCAGTGTCTATCAACAAAAAGATGATTTTCTTCTGCAAAATATATTTTTAGAAGATATGGTTTAAAAAATGTTGCTCCACAATGAATGTTCAAAGTTTGTCTTCGACATACCAAACATTCGAGCTGGTACATAACCTGAGTTCCTTGGAATATTACTAGTCTCCATTACACGACAGTAATCACTAGCGGTCACATACATGTACTGCATTTGTACGTAACATATACGAATAAATTCGTGTGCACGTAGCTCTCCCGTACGTATGAGTAATATTTAAGCAAAAGCGCAAAATAACAGTACATTTCATTAGTCATAAAAAGCGAAAAGGCTACTAAAAGCTCAATTTAGAAAGGCACTGCATGGCAARACCAATAAAAAGGTCCACTGTAAACAGATAAAAACTCATAAAAATTGTGCTTTAAATGCGTATTTGTTGTGATGAATAAATGCGTCAGACGGACGAAAATAAATTTCACTTGGTTATGTGGGAATTGGTAAAATAGAACAAGAAATAATGTTAAGTTCAGCATTATCTATTATAGCCTTTACAAATTAAAAAAATCCATACAAAAACCAAATTTCGATCGTTCAGTTTGTATRKCAAGCTATATGCTATAGTGATTCGATCTGAAAAATTTTTTCGGATATTGCATCACTGGCTTAGACAGTAATCCGTGCTAAATTTTGTGAAGATATCSCGTCAAATGATAAAGTTCTCAATGCATACATGAAAAATATACATATGAAATATTGTCTATATAACTACTTTACAGGGTTTGTGGCAATTCATTCTGGATGTTACAAACGTCGTAGAAAACTTAATATACTTTGTTCGGGTATACAAATTTAACAAAGAGGTTACCCAACCAAATGGAAGGGACGAAGTGAGCGGTTTTATATAAATAGTAAGGCGACATTTGAGTTATGAAAAATATTACTTGCTGTGAAAAAGTTATTGAGAGTAATCCAGATATGGTTATTTAATCAAAAATCAATATATACGAATAGATATTGTATACACAAGCGTATATGCCAATTCGCAAATGGTTCTTTAGGCTCATTATACTATTGTGCATGTTATTTTTACCAATTTTTCATAATATAATAAATAAAGGCTATAAAAGTACAGTCATAACAAAGTTTATGCAAACAAATTATAACGAAGGRCATAACTAACAAACAAACTACTTCGACTGGTTTTTGTCTTTTATGTAAATATATACACGAGTATTTCTCCATAAAGCAAGCGACTTCGCTTTACTTGAAAACACGCATTAACTGCTGAAATTCTTGACTCGCGGCTTTCGTATCATAAAAGAATTTACTGGCGACATTTGCCTCGTGGCATTCACTGTTTATGTAAATATGTCTTCAGTGTAATAATAATAATTACTTTAAAAAATTTGAATTTAAATGCGATACAACAAGGCGTGTAGAGAAAGTGTGACTTTAAGTGCACTATTTTGCTTTGATTCAAGTTTTCATATAAGCCAATTTTAAAAATAAATAACAGAACTAAAATGAATTTGAATAAAAATGCTTTCTAGGATTTATTAAATATACTTTTGGAAGAAAAATTGTTAATAAATTCCTCGGGTAAGTGACATTTCAAAAGAAAAAAGTATTTTGCTCCATAATTACTAAGCCAAATATGAGAGAGGTCTTACAGCTAATTTATTTACAGCAGCTGCTTAAGTCGGTACACTTCAGTAGGGCGTTGCCATTTTTACAATAGACAAAAATATCGAGCAAAGACTTTCTCTCAAATTTTGTATTTCAAACCAAATTTTGTCTCCGGAATCGTTGCGAATGTTGGAAAAGCCTTACAGTGATTCAGTTATATCAAAAACACAAGTTCACGAGTGGCACAAAACCTTCACATAAGGTCGAGAGATCGTTGAAGACATGCCTCGTTCTGGATGACGACCTCTTCAACTGATGAAAATATTAAAGATAAAAAAAAAACGAACCAAAACCATAGAAACCACTCAAAACTCAAGGCGATGTTCATTGTTTTTCTCGATATTCTTAATTTAGGTATCATAAAAATTTGTTCCCGAGAGACTGACGGTCAATAAGGAGTTCTATTTGGTCGTATTGAAGTGAGAACATTCGTCGAAAACGGTCGGAATTGTGGAAGAATCGCGCCAYGATTTTWACCGAATTTRCAGCCAAAAACGCAATGAATACCATCGATCAACCACTGTATTCACCAGATTAGGCTCAGTGGGAAACTTTTTTGTTCTCCGAATTGCCGCTCTATGTAGTGCAGCCCATTTTCAGTAGAGCGAAGAAATAAAACAAAACTCGCAATTGGAGCCGAAGATCATCAAAAAATGTGCTTATAAAAAGGGTTTCAAGTACTAACTCGTTGACGTAAGAGTATTAGATCTGTTAGAGATTATTTTCAAGTTCAGATGAAACCGCTAAAGCACTTATCGTTCAAATTTTCAGTTAAATGCAGTACTGCCATTATTGCTAATTTCATTATTTCTTGCTCTGAAAAAAAAAACTCAAAATTGATTACCAATCGTGTAGAATATGAAAACGGTAAAAAATCAAGATCTTGCCGCAATCGGCTAAAACGACTCCTTTTAACGCATACTTGTGACAGGAGGAGACAATTTTATAATACCACTTCTCTTCCAAGCCGGAGTAACATCGATTATAATCATATGATTATATAGCCGAAAATAAAGATATTTTTATTTATTTTSATAACCTCTCGATAATAGTTTATGKCATAATGTGAAATTTGTCGAGATCCATGTAGAAAAAAAATGCTTGAAAACTTGGATTACACGTTATTGATGATTTCTTTACAGTRTAACACWGTTTTGGTCTCTTCTTTAAATTAAAAATCGGACATTCATAGAACTTTTTAACAATTAGAAAAATATACACATAACAATAGAATTGATATTTACAGTTCACAAATCTTTATGTTTACTCTATGTTTCAAAAATGGTATTTTAATATATTTTTGTGATGCATTTTATTTCTGCATAAAACGAGATTTGATTAATATAATAAATCATTGAGTACGTATGCCGGTTGGCTTGCTGCTAGCAGGTGTAGGAGTATATTATAACTGCACACAAACATATATGTACGTATATGCGCTTGGCTGCTATAGAAATGCATTGCTATTAGGTTAACTCTTTTTAAGTCAGCTACCCTCGGTTTGACCCAAATAATATGCAGCTCGTGGTTTTCAACGATCTCTACTTTTCTTTTTTTCCCTTTGCTTTATGGAGTGGGCCTCATCCATGCAAATAGGAAACAAAGCCAATACCAAGCTATGCCGCTCAATACGCATTTTTGTGCGCTATGTGGGGTGAAGTGGTGTAAGTGGTGGTAGATGGTGCGCGCGTATGGGCGCAGGCATTTTATGAATACCTGCCAATTCAACACGATTTGGTGCTACTGGCAAACTAGCTGAATACTAGTTAAAAAAAAAGCAAACCGACAACTGCTAATCTAATAATGAAAGCGAGTATAAATATTTYACACAATGAATAAATAGCTTGTGAAAACAAAGGAAAACTTAGAAATTGAAAAATCACTGAATTTGCACTTGAAAAATAAAATACGGTATATCACGTTTCGTTATAATTGAACGAATGTGTAACGTTTTCATGTATTTCTACTTGTTTTGAGTAAATACATGAATACGAGTTAGTTCGACTAAAATCAGTGAACCGAAACATAGACGTGGGATTTTTTTATTTTTACGAGTAAATTGAAATATTTTGTTAGTGGAGTTGTCGAGTTAGTTGTTCTTCTGTATTTGTTAGGCCAATATTAAAAATTCACAAATAATTTCAAAAAACTGACAGTTAGCCCGAATCTGACAGCAATCTCAACAGAATCAACTTACATAATTACACCTTTAAGGCCCGTTTTCTCCATGTCTGGTTAGAGTTTATTTTAACTTAACTGACAGATGAAAGTGAGTTTCCATTTTTCAGTTGAGAACCATTTTTTTAACTTAACTTACAGACGGCTGCTARCCAGACATTGAAATAGCGGCTCTAAGAAACTCTTATATAAAAACTTGTCCTGCGATAAAGATACGGAACAGTTTAATAAMGAGTTGTTTATTAAGTTTCATGAAGAGAAAGTTCTTTCAACAGGGTCAGAAGAGGCAAATTTTAAAGAATAAGTAAAAAACGTTATGAAATATCCAGATTCGCACAAAATTAAATCATAAACTTAAAAAAAAAAACAAAAAATACGAATATCAAGATGAACCCAAAACAATAAATATTACATGATAACGGTATTTTTTGTTTTTTAAATATGTTCGTCTTTTTCTGAGCACTCGAAAAAAACATATAGGTTAATCATTCTACGACGAATGCTCAAAATGTATTTTTCAAAGAATCTTTCATCCGMGTTAATTTTCTAGAGACGGTTTAGAAATCTAAGATAATGATACTATACTTGCACCTAACACATTTGTGGAAAGGTTAAAATGAAATTATGTGTATGTATGTATGTAGATAAAGTTTACAAGCGCACCTTTACACATCAAATATTTAATACCAAACGCAAGCAATTTACAATAAATATTTACCTTTGGGATAACAAATCATGCATTTTAATGTTTCCTTGCAATGCCTGCTGTGTTTGGTTTGCGCTGCTCGCCTGCGGTTTTGAAGTTAGTGCAACTGTGACAAAAAATATAATTTTTGTTTGTGTGTTTGCGCAATAAAAATTGTTTTAAATTTCGGAATTTTCACAACACACAATTTTCTCTTGTTTCGTAATTTATGATTTGTTTGACTTTACTTTGTACACTACCACATATAATTTGAAATTGTTTGCACTTGCAACATCATGAACATGCACTATGTAGCAGAGGGCTCAATGCTGCAGCATTCGTAATAAAATTTCAAACTTGAAATACTGAAAACACTCGTACACTTTACGATTTGTAGTGTAACTGTGGCACAACTGCTACTGCGGGTAAGTTTGCTGCTTTTGATTTTTTTTCTTCGTTTAATTCGATTTGCCGACACCCGTACTTGGGCATTGAGGCAACCGGCCACTGTGCATCAGAAGGAAAACGCTGCAGTTCGTATAGTTCATTTCAGTTCAGTCCAGCTTGCGTTGAGTTGAAAATTTGCCGAACTCAACTCCCAGTTGCATTTATGAATTATTGCAATTTCACACATACACGATCTGCTGCGCTGCGATAAGTTAGAAATGTTACCATTTGAACACCCGAAACTACAGCAACACGAAAATTCTGTTGAAATGCTATCGAAATCACGGCAAACGCTTCAGGTCACAGTTTTTGTGTTTTTGTGTTTTTGGTAAACACCCTCAACAATGAAACAAACATTTGAAGTTCGCAAATTGCGCTCGTGCTGGTTTTGGATTTGCTTGATTTATGTCCGACATTTACGAAATATTTACTGAAACTTTAGCTGACTGTTTTTACTGGAATGAACGAACTTTAATTTAGTACTGTTATTTTATTAAAATACTTTTTTGTTGCACCAGTCAATTAATTTGCATAACAAAACGTGCACAAACATGAACACACTTAACCGTATGACTTTCACGAATGTTGATGATTAGCTCACACGAGTGTTTGATTCAATTGAACATCATTAGCTTTTTATAAAACACACACTCACAATTTTATTTATATTAAACACTGCGTTTTATTTCAATATTTATACTTATTTACCGAACGAAAATCACAACTCGAACGCCACTGCGTCATCATTATCAGCAATTGGCACACTAGTATCGACACAAAATCAGCGTAAAGCATTCGTGTACACCCGTTCTATCACTTCACAAATTGTCCTTACGTTTTGACAACATCAAAGCAACTGAAGCTGCTGCCCAGCATCGGCTCCACACAGAGTGCACACGYATGAAACGAGTTGGCGAACGAAGCGCCAGGCGATGTGCTTGCTATGCGCCTTCGTTATCAACGTCAACAAGARCACCAACGTGGTTGGAATAGGCAAAGTCACGAAGGTAACCATTGGGGGTGTTGTTATTGTCGGTTAGCTTTCGTTTTAATTCAGCCCATGGAGAGCGCAAGCATCAAGAAAATATGTTGTCGGCAGTGAGTGCACACGTGTACAGAGAAAAACAGAAATTTAGCAACGACACAGAAAACAGCTGTTATTTACATGGTTCTCATGGTTTGCCGAATGAATCAGCGTCGTTGGATACCGTAGTACTGAGTTTTGTAGAGAAAGTGGAATCACATTCTCTCGGTTTTCAGCTGGTGTGCTGAGTTGATTGCAATTTGTTTTATTCTCTACAAAAGTCCAACTGTATTATTGCATGCAAGCAATAAAAAAACTTAAAAAATAATAATAAAAGCTTTGGTACCCTTRTAGGAATTAATATTTTATTTATTAATTAATATGTATGTATATATGAGGTAATGCAGTGCTGATTTATTTTGAAATGTATTCGCAGTGACGCCCAAAAATTCCCAGTATTTTTGTCTAGAAAGAAGTCTACGTACAATACATATTCGACAGGCTGCTTTCGGTGGCTAGTTACATTTGGAAAAGGCAATGTTTCAAAATAAAATTTTTATTGTGTGAAACAAAGTTCTTTAGCTAGTTTTGATCCCAAAAATTAGTCAAAACCCTCGGACCCGAAAGGAAGAATATTATAATTTTCCTTGTTCAAAATAAAATCAGTAGATCTTTTACGTAGAATCTATGCTAAGTCAGTAAAATGTTGTTTAGTAAGGAATGTTACATTCATGTTCATTTTTTCAGGGTAATTGAGAAGTTATAATCTGATTTCGAAAATTTTTGTCTGGGTTATAATACAMCTTGAGAACACTATTTGGGCTACATATTAATTGAAAACTCAATGGATGTGTTATTTGTAAACTATAAAGTGAAAAGATCAGACGGAATAGAAAAATTTGTTATTTGGGAAACAGGTGTGATCGTCACCGGATTCTGGTGTGGTTTGTAGGCCACTGGTCACCGGTCCATATTTCTTCAAAAATGATTCTGTTGAGAACATAACCGTCAATGACGACCATTAACGCGCCATGATAACTGACTATTTTATGCCTGAAATTGAAGATCGTGATCTCCGCGACATTTGGTGTCACTTCCTACTTCATCGCATCAATCTATGGATTTATTGAGAGAACGCTTCGGAGAGCAACCAAGATCGTGTGATAATCTGTGTTTCGAGTGATATCAACCAAGATCAAGTGATATCACACCGTTAGACTTTTCCTGTGGGATAAATAAATAAATATATGCCAAAGAATATTTTTACGAATGATAACAAACATTCCTCATTTGATTTGAAGTTTCTGTGTTTTTTTTTTTTTTTTTTTAATCAGGAAGCTCGAAATGGATCATCCTATATTTTCATATTTGCACATATATATTTATTATGGAGATTTCAATATAAGCTCCTTGTGCCTTTTCAATATGTTTTCAGTTTAAAAATAATTCTTAGCCAAATATTCACTAAACTAAATGAAGCACTATCTGGAATACTTAATGCAACGCAAATTTATACAAAATATTTTACATTCATGTTTTAAAGGAAGGTTTTGAACTCCTGTATGCATTATTTTTAAAACTTTTTTTTACAAAACTAAAATAAAATGCATTCTGCTTATGTATGTATGTATGCAGAGTTCTAAGTGACGTTGTAGCTAAAAACTGCGCTTTTCACTTTCGGRACCAAAATAATCGGATTAATTGAAAAGCATTGGTTTCAATATTTTAGAGCGATTTAGATTAAGCGAACATAATACGAAAACACAACAACAATGTTTGTAACAGTGAATGTTTTCCAAAGTCACACTACATAAATAGTAATGCCACTAAAGCACCAGCGGCAGTTTAAAAATATCAAATATTGCAACGATTCATTTTGGGTTTGAGTCCTCTTTCATATATGCGAAGGAAATTAATATAAAACAATATTTGTAAATGGCAGCAACAGCAGGGTGGTGTGGCAGATAACTATTAGTGGAAAATCGCGGCAAACGCCGAAATCAAAAAACCAATCAATGGTACAACCCAAATAGTCCGTCGGCGYAGCAGAAAGGCCGGAGCAACCGCAGAAACCCATTATAAAACTACATATACATATATATACATATGTATGCGTATATGAGGAATTTTATTCTATTCTGAAAAATTTTCAAAAGGGGGTTACGTCATTTATACGAGACCGCATTTATTTGCATGCCATTATGTTTGTCTGTGTGGTTTCAATTTTAAGTTTTAGGGAATAGAAAACATCAGTCAATATTGTAGTGGTACAACGTGCTTTGGCATAAATTGTTTGTAAGTATTGACAAAGGAAAAAAATGTTTACGAAAAATATTGAAGTTTAGGGTAATTTGCAATAAGTACAGGCTCTTTACCGATATAGACAGCAAAAGCAATAACACCCCCAACCTGTGCTGAATCCAGTACAAAATTTCGCTTGACACCAACTCCAAACTGAACACCAATTCCACACACATCACACGAGCAGCCGGCAAACACACGTCTATTTGGTTACCCCGACGACAATGCAAACGCAATTCTATCATACTCGCTGGTGCAATCGATGGTGAGAGCACCCAACACCATTGGCATAGTTGAATGGGTTTTTATAAAAAGCAAACAGGAAAAAATCAAGCTTGAATCAACAGCTAAACCATAGCAATAATATCTCGATGCACCGAAGGAGCTTGAGAGCAAAAACAGTCGAGCGTAGCCGCACACGATTGGCGCAGCGCAGCGCATTTTTTCATACAACAAGGGGTCAAAAAATATGTTGAGCCGATTTGACAGCGTCGAAATGAAAAATAAATGTCCGGGAAAGTGAGGTTAGCAAATGAATGTTATTTCATTTGGTGAACAAAAACTAGAGGGAAAAATTGTTCAACTAATCGATATACAAAATGCCTGCGAGCATAGCCGCCACGCTATCATGTCGCACAGCGTGATACCTATCTGTTTCTGCCATTGTGTTTTGAAAGTTTTACTAACGGCTTAACTACAAATTGATATTGCGATGCAAAATGAATTGGTTCTCGTGCAACGCACGCATAAAAAATTGAGATTTAGAAAATCGTAATTAAATCCATGAACAATGCAACCTTGAAAAATATTTTTCACCTGGATGTTAACCTTTGCTTTGCTTACGGACAACTTTAATATATCTTCAACTGTGCTCAACACTAAGCTTTGTAGTACACATAATTACTTTCCTTTGCGGCGTACCGTTATGTAAATAAATTAATAGGCAAGCTTGAAAACAACAAATCGAAAGCTTGTATTATGGCATATTCACTTTCGGCCCTGATTCTATGCGAAAACTGAGGATTCGCCCTCATTTTTGTAGTAATTAAAAACCTTTACTTTGTATACATATTCGTGCTTATTCATAATAATACTTCACGATACTATATACTATACATTATGAGTATTTGTAAATGCTTGTTGGCTATGCTTGCCCTTGTTTGTAATGAACTTTAGGAGCAACGGTAGCTGAAAATATTTTAATTTCATTTTTTTTTTTTACTTTGATTTTCCAAAAGTCGACTTGCCACTCTTATATTTGATAGATGATGCTTGAGCGTGCGTGTCTGTCTRGCTTTGCATTCATACAGAGCGTTCCATCAATTTCATTTTATTTTATTTAAATTTAATGAGTTCGTGTATCTTTACCTAGCTARAAAGCAATAGCGGTTGCATGTTTCAAACATGTGCTGTGAATATCCTTTACCATAATATACCATATATGTATGTGTATATATATGTAGTGTCCCTAAGATGCAAAATAACATATCTTCAYAAAAAACTCTAAAATCGCTGTCAGATATAATAACCAATACATAACCTTTTATAACCATAACTAAAGTTTGCATTCAGATATAATAACCAATATATGAAGATTTTATAACGAGAACTAAGGTTTGGATTTAGATGTAATGACCATGATATAATATAGTATCAAATATAATAACCAATATATAACCWTTTTATAACCAAGACTCAAAATTTGTTTYAGTATGGGTGATTTCCATTATAATGCCTTCGCTGATAAATTTTTGAAAAGTGATGTTACGTTATTTTGCATTTTAAGTGACACTATAAGTACCATATATATTATATTTACTTTTATGAAAACAATTTAATACTTAAACTTAAGTTGGCCTCAAAATAATGTAGGTCAATGTGAAATGAAAAAATCTTTATGATAGTACCAAGCATTCCAAGGACGCATTAAAAATGTACAAGCATTAATTTGTGTTATTATTAAAAATATTTTCTATTTTCAAAAATATTTAACAGATGTACACAAAATACGCAGTGCTTTATAGATATTGTGTTTAAACGGTATAAGATAGTATCGACTTTTTTGACGCAAGATTCGTATCAGTGCAACGTAAAATATTTCTAGACCAATTTATGTATTGTATTTGTAAGTATATTTTTTCTCAGACATTTGCATCTACCAACAACTAATTTCGAATTCACATTTGCCTGCTAGATGYGGTCATTAAGTTACAAAATTCCTTGTCGAACTGCACGGACATTGCAAATACATGCATTAATGTACAACATATTACCAACACAAATGCATGCTTGTGTTGTCTATGTATGTGCATGTCTGTACTGAAATTAAAATTTGAAAATATGCAGAAATTCCTCAACTTTACTGCTGCTTTTATTTTATATTATTTAGCTATGCTTTTGATTTACTTTCAGCTTCGCTTTAGGATAAATGTGCAACGTATGTACACAATAAACATATGTAAATGTGTATGTGCCGAAAACAAATTTGTTAAATTCCGAACAACAAAAAGTA